CTTGAGCTGGATGTTTGCTGGTATGATCTTATCTGCTATGAAGAGACCAGAAATAGTAAGTAATGAAGAAAAGGAAAATCCCTTTCATTCTTGAATCCGTAAGTTGAGAGTCTGTATCTCCAAAACAATGGATCTGGAATGACTGTAAATTAATATCAAATTCAAACAGCCAATTTCACTGAAGCTTAGTCTCTTAAAATGTTGTTCAGTCTTTTTAACACGTTATGACTAACTATAACTCTGAGATACTCTTTTCAAAAGAAGGAGAATAATGTTTTTCAGGCCTCTATTAATAGAAGAATGAGAATTTAACCTGAGAGGAAAGATGAAACGTGAGGATATCAGTTGTTGTTATAGGTAACTGGTATTCTGCCCTAGTGATTTCAGATAAAGTAAATTCCTTGAGGGGTAACTTGTTCCGGGGGATCAGCCTTTTTCTCCAGGGTTTGCTAGTCTTAGATGAAAGCACAGCCTTTGCAGTGTAATTTGCACATAGTATTTACACATAGTATGTGTGATCATAACATCTTCCTAGCTTTGCAGTGGTCTGGCCACGCTTCTCCCATTACCACCACGAATCAGTGCTTCCCACTCCTAGCTGATTTCCCTCAATCTTTTGACTCTCATGTCAAGGAACTTAATCTCTTTCCCACATCTGCAGTTCACTGAATTGAATTTCACTGCTTGTTGGCAAATGAATATCTCTAAGTAAATGTTAATACCAAATTAGTAGTTTTAACTAAAGCATCTTTTGTACTCTTGACTGGTATAGCTCTGTCCATTTCTCTTTCGTCTCAGTATCGACTTGGGAAATTTGCAGAGCTTTCACAGAGATTCAAAATATTAAAGTAACCTTCTTGGACTGTGTTGATTTTTACTGTGCATAGCAAATCAAAGCCAGATGAATGCCTAGCATTAGTATCACTTTCTAGTTCCTTGTAATATATTTGGCAATGTATAGTTCATAAGGGCTATTTAACACAAATTTCTCGTTAGCATAATATTCTTGCATGTTAAATGTTTTATATGATGTTTCCATAGCTACTATGGGCAATAAATAAAATGGCTTTCCTATGAGAAAATACATCATTGCTAAACTTAGTTATGAAGGTGTTTTATCTCCTTACTACTACTTATAGTCATCATGAGCTATCCTAGCTTTGCCTTTGACTTGTGTGTGTTCATCTGTAAACATTAAAGGATCCATACTGCTGCTCTTCCTCAATCAGCTGTTAGCTTTATTACGCCAAATTCATTTTCCCACTATATAGACTGAAGGCACTCCTTTGATTTTAAATTGAGCAATATCTGCTTCATCGCATCGCTAACTCTTCTAAGGGATTTTGCATGTATAGAAAAATATATTATTTTTTCCAGCAGTAATTTCTAGAAAGTACTTTGACACAAAGTGAGAGAGCTCTGTGCCAGCTGTTCAGACTTTTCTAGCTAATAAAACAGAAGACAGTGCAGGTTGGACAGAGCGGGCAGCAGCATTTAAGGTGACCTGGACTGCTAGCATTCTTGGAGAAGCAGGCACACTTGGGTAGCAACGGAAATAAGGAGTTGGTCTAGAAAAACGTTAGGGTAGAAATGGTTCTGCCTGGTCTGGTGTTGGACAGGCGCTGGGCTCGGAAG